CTTTGAGAGAAGCTGGAAGCAGCCGTGTGCCTGAATCCCATAAAAGATGTCTCCTGAACTCTTTTGAAAATCTCAGTTTATCTTGCCATTAATATTTATAATTGTCAATGAGCAATGCATGGAACAGCTAATTGAGCTCCATAAATTGCAATAGGCTGGTTATTTCCACATGGCTACATTTCAGTTATTATTTTTTCCCTTGGAGTTGGTACTGTAACTGCTGTAGCTGCTTAGAGACCACTTTTTGCTAATTCAGTAAATGCTAATTTTTTTAATTGTCACAATGGAAGACAGTGCATTGCATCAGTGAAAATGTATGGGGAAAAAAAATTAATTGATGGCATTTCAGGTTATCAGCACACTCACTAACATGCTTGACTGCATTTTGTGAACGTGGCTGTTATGATTGCCCTGGGAACTTGTTTAAAGTTAAGCGAGTGTTCTCTTTATGGCACTACTGAATTTCCCTGTTACAGGAAACAAATTCATGCTGTTTGGTTTTGTTCTAACAGATATAACACTTACCTTTTAATTGATCAAAAAGAAAAATGTGGAATATGCTGTTCAAGTTAGCTTGAGATGTGAAAAGCTTCTGAAACAGATGATGTGGTAACTATTCACAGTAGTTGTGCTCACAACTCTGCTGCAGCATATTAACTGTGATTAGCATGGAAAAAAAAGGTCTCTGCACTTAGGAAATATTTTCCCCTTTGTGTCACTTAGAAATCAAGCTTTCTTGGGATTTAACATAATGTGACAAAATGCATGGGCCACATTGGAGGGTCGGTCAAGCTCCTTGGACCAGGCTCAGCAGACGTCTGTTGTCTGCTGGCAGCTGAAGCGTGTGAGGAGCCTTGCCGATGCGTCATGAAATGGATATTCCCTCAAAATAGAGCTTACTGTACTTGGCAACTGATGGTGTTAAAAGTGGGCCCTTGGCTTATTCCCGACATATATCTCATTTACAGTTATCCACCCTTTCTATTTCTCCCAGTGGAAAAAAAAAAAACACACAGCCTCCATGATAGATGTTTAAAGGCCATGGTAGCATTTATGAGAAGCCCCAGGTTCCTTCATCAGTCATTGATCTGTGTTTCTGGGCAGAACAATGAAGTTACCCCTTATTTTGCTGTGCTTCACTCAGGTTCATTTGACTTGAACCAGACGCCAATTTAAGATCACTAGTAACAATTGTGGCGTTCAATCCCTGCTGACAGGATAATTCTGGCCTGGCTGTTGGGAGCTTAAAATGCTTTACCTGTGCTCAGCTAGTATTATTTGTAATTAAAGCTCCCAGGTTATACGTTGCAAAGGAACGGGTTGTCTGGAGCTCATTTTTACAGGTCATCCTCTAGAAAGGTACCTCTGAAAATAACCCTGTGTTTTTCATTTTGAGATCCCATTTCTCTGTTCACCTTGTGCATGGTATAATGTGCCAGCATTAGCTGCTGAGAAATTAAACAAGACATGCATGCGAAACTGTCCTTGAAGGGAGCCAGGCTAGTGTTTCCATGTGCTGTCATTGATGAAAAGACCCAAATTCCAGACAGTACAACCCAGAACTCACACCATTAAAGCTGTTTAGCTTTTCTTTTTTTTCCAGATGGAGGAAAAATCTGTACATTAGAGAGGAAAAGCTGTCCCCTGAACATACAGCGGCAGTGTTTGCTGCAGGCTTTCTTATGCTTTGCTGGGCCTGGCTGAGGGGCACAACAGCTGCCATCTTGGAGCCGCCATCTTGGAGCCGCCATTGAGATGGGGCGGCCGCCATTTTGGGGCGGTTCCTGAGGTGTGACGGCCGCCATTTTGAGGTGGTTCCTGAGGTGTGACGGCCGCCATTTTGAGGTGGTTCCTAAGGTGCGACGGCCGCCATTTTGAGGTGGTTCCTAAGGTGCGACGGCCGCCATTTTGGGGCGGTTCCTGAGGCGTGGACATTGTCGTTTCGGGGCGGCCCCTGAGGTGTGGCAATTTGCATGCTTGTTGGAAGTCATTATTCTGAGAACTGGAAGGATGGCAAAGAAAGGCAAGGTAATACCATCAGGGAATTTCCGGCTACAGTGATGCTGTAACGGGGAAGAAAGGGAAAATTGTGCAAAATCAAAGGATGGGATGTTCAAAACATGCCTGGGTTTGGCATGACTTGCAGGCAGGGCAGGAGGTAAGGCTTGGAAGATTCTTTCTGACATGAGTCTGTGTGGAGGCCAGCAGATACCTTTGCAGTGACTCCAAAAGTGCCTGCAGTGAGCTCCAAGCAGGCAGGTGTCCACTTTCAGTAGGCGTCACGTCAAAACTAGCAGCGACTGCAAACTGACAGTGTCGGCAAAAAGTGGCTAAACCCTGGGCCGCCCGCTGCACTCCCAGTATGTTTTTTCAAGCTGAACCAGTCAAAAAAACAAAACATCCTGCAAAGCATGTAATTACTCTTTTTTATTCAAATCCGAATACAGAAAGAAACCCCAAATTGAAACACTGTGGCTCTAGACTTAGTCAGAAGGCTGCGTTCTAGCAAATACAACCTCCCTCCACCTTTTTTTTTTTTTTGCCACCCTTTTTTGTATTTCCCCAAGAATTAAATTAATATGGCTGTTTCTCCAGCAAATACGTTTGTTGGGGAGAAAAAGGTGTTGTAACACTGATGGGTTAGGAAAGAACCCTCTGGCTCTTGTTGAAATGCTTGCCATAATTTGTCATTTCAGTTGGATAAACCAAATGGGGCAGTAGGCCACAAATATCAACAACAGACCTTTATTATTTTGTGCTCTGCTTTTTATTTTCCAAACTTTGTGATGAAAATTGCTGGTGAGTGTGTGTGTGTAACTTCAGTGCCATGTGAAATGAGTGTCATTTCAGGTGTGCTTGTTGTGTGGAGGAAATAATACATAACCTTAAAATAGAAAAGATGTTTGTAAGTGACAAAAATTGGCAGGGAGGACTTGGTCAGATTCAGTTTTAGAACTGCTTTTATTTTTTATTTTGAATTCTATTCCAAGTTTAGAATGTCCCTTTAAAATAATTAGAATAATCACAGTATCACTGGAACATCAATGGAGAAATTCATGTCTTGAGTATAATTTTAATATGTCCTGAATTCTGAAGAGAAGCTAGAAAAGCTAGCTTACGGAAATTTTTGTATATGATGAAAACAAACTCCTGACCAAACTGGCTAATCTGAAATGTCTGAAAGTAAAAGAGCTATCATGAAAGTGCTAGAAAGCTTCTGATTATAATGGAATCAGTGTCCCAGGGAATAATGCAGCTCTGCATTTAATATTGAGCTACTGAACCGTACATCTCAACCTAGCTAAACTCGCTGGGTTCTCATCAAAGTGCTGTAATGACACTGTGCTCTGTTTAGATGCCAAGCAACTCTTGAAATAGCTCCAGATCTTTTTTAGCAGCTTCAGCTGAGTAGAGACATCAGACATTAGAAGGACAGCTACTGCCACGGCATATATATATATATATCTTTCATTATGTATACTGCCACACTCGGCAATAATCTTATGAACTTTTATAAACCTAATTAAAAGGTTCTTGCACACTTCCAGGCAAAATCATGGCAGCAGTGCTGAACCAGCAAAACAAAAGCTGTCCTTTGTTCTGCAAATCTGTTGTCTTTCCTTATTAACGATACATGCGCAACACGTTTAATTCAATTCTTGCCATTGTTTGCCTGTGTGTTTTTTGTTCTGGCATTGACTGGCATCCCTGTTGTGTTACTCATAGTTCAGGCATGTTATTCTAAGTAGAATTTTTTATTTCTGTGTATTGTTTAAGGTATTTACTTTGCTGAAGGGAAGAAAAAAGTGCTTGCGTCTACTTAAGCAGGCGGGTAGTTATGTCAATTTCTGTCCATTAAATACACAAACACACATAGGTATATAAACATATGCAGTGATTGCAAGGTGTTGCAGGTATGGAGTTAAGTGAGCTATGAAAACTGTATTTGAGAGACACTCTCTAACACAGAGGTTTTGTTTCTGGGAGCAGCTCTGGGCTGGAGCATCCTCCAACCTGTCCCTCCTGCTACGGACAGTGAGCCTCTAGGTGAATGTTGAAGTGACACTTCTCAGATTTCTAGGCCATTTATTTGAATTACTTGGAATAACTTAGTTTTCTAAAACATTTTTCTTTTTAAAAAACATCTTAGTACTGTTAATCTTTCGGACTCTGAAAAACTGTGTTTGTTTGTTTTTTTTTTGTGCCTTTACAACCTAGACAATCAAGTCTTGAGCATGAGCAGGAGAGAATTGTATAGCTTATCTAAAGCAAACAAAGTGTTCAGCCAGCCCCGAAGTGCAACAGTAATTTTGCTAATGGTTTTGATACTACCTTTGATCAAAATCTGGGTATATCTGTGATACCAGCACTTCAAAATCCAACTTGAATCTTTACAAATGTTTAGTGATTGATCTGATTTATTTGGAAGTACCAGGTGGTGATATGACTTACGTGCTTTGTATTTTCTCTTTCAAACGTGCTCTCCATTTCTATCATGTATTCCTGTTCAACGGTGAGCTCTTCCAGTGGTCTCTCCCTTACCCCATGTTGTGTCCTTCACTCATACCCTGGAATATCCTGTACAATGGAGTTACTCACAGACTACCTTATCTGACCTGTGGAGTTGCTATGGTGGTTTCTGCTCATATATGCTAAAGAGACCATTGACCTGCTGCCTGCTTTGAGTCGTGCAAAGTCATCCTTTCGTGCATCTTTTATGCTTATTGTGAATTTCTGCTCGAGTTTAATAAAACTGGAAAGAATGGCTACCCCTTTGTTCTCTACTTTTCAAGCCAGTATGTCTAATAAGCTCAGTTGCATGTTGCATTGAAAGAGAAACGTGGTTAAATTCAAGAAGTTGAAACAGAATTCTTTGGGGAAGTTTTGTTTGTTTGTTTTCTGATATGACTGTATCATACTAAAGCAACTGCTATGCGAAAAAATCAGAACAATTAAAAATGGACCGTTTCTAATGTGTTTGTTTAATTTTTGTCTTTCAGTCTATCAGAGAAGTCACAGGCTATGTTTTGGTGGCTTTGAATCAATTTGAATACCTGCCATTGGAGAACCTGCGCATCGTTCGTGGGACCAAACTCTATGAAGACCGATATGCTTTGGCGATATTTCTTAACTACAGAAAGGATGGTAATTTTGGACTCAGGGAACTTGGCTTGAAGAACTTGACAGGTAAGTGAAACTTATAAATGCAGTGGATTAGTCGGGAAAAAAAGAGCTTGTTGAACATGTGCATCAATGTCCTCAGTCATTTTCATTGTGCAAATAACAGGTACCATGAGAGGCTGGCAGTTCTACACTGTTTGAAAGGCTCGTTGGTACTTAATTTCATTCCTTTTCAGAATCACAGTTGAACTTTTTCCAGTACTGTTCAAATGCTATGTATGAAATTCATGCCAAGAGCGTATTTGCAACAAAAAGAATTGTTGAAAGAAACTACACACTTTTTTCTTAGTTTTGAGAACACAAATTTGGTTATTATTATGTTGCTTCAGGTGCTACCTATTTTCTGGCAAGTTAGCTTTGGCTTCCTCAGCCTCAGCTCTTGCTGCTCTGTCAGCATTGCTGCTGCTCTCACAGAGGTGGGGGAAAGAGAGGTGGGTGAGAGGGGACACTGGATCTTTGGTGTATTTAATTTAAGACCTCCGCTTTCAAATAAAAAAGTTTATTACATATAGTGATACTTTTTTGAGGCAAAAATGTAAACTAAGTCTATGTTTCCGTGGTCATCTGTAAGTTCAGGGCTGGATGGATAATGATGTGGGGTAGGTCAGCATTTCATATGTCCCAGATGAGGGTCTGCAGTAACTGGTTTGAGAGATTAAATGCTGGCTAAATATCATATCATATATTGCACTGTAACTTAATAAAGGCCAGGCAGTGGCAAAGTTTCTTTAGGGAGTTCACAAGAAGTGTTTTATTTGTACATGGTTCCTTGTGAAGGGAGGGTTGTCTGCTATGATCATTTGTACTTTTAAGTTTTGGAGTTTGTGAAATGGCCTTATTTCTATAAGTGGCTACATGCTGAGTGCAAACACTGATGTGAGCTGGACTTGAACCTGAATACAGGGAGGTGGGAGCATTTTGAACTGTATTAAGGCACCCTTCGCTCCTGACTTTTTTTGTGTTGGTGTATTCAGTGATACAAAAGTGCCTGCGGTTCCCTTCTGTTCAAGCCTCTCTGGGTTGTACAGAGATGCTTTCAAAAATAGAAAAGAAAAGGAGATTTTGACTATTTTACAGAATAAAACACAATTTTAGCAGACTTTCTGATCAGGTTCATTCTTCTGGTCAGACTTCTAACGCTTTTGCTTACTGAGGCCATCATGCTGATACCAGTGCACTTCCCAAAGTCTCTAAATCCCTGCTGTGCTTCTCTCTATCATTGTCATAATCCAATTTTCTCCTATTCTGTTCCCACATTTTCCCTACACTTATGATTTAGGGTATTCATTATGGCTGCCTGTGCCTTCACATAGCACAGTTACAGCATCATGTACTAATTTTCTACTTCTTTGGATACTTTTCTTGTCTATGAGTCTCAAAATGCTTTGTAAAAGACACTAGGCTGGGTGAAACTGAGACTGAGAGGTGATGTGAGGCCAAGGCCAGGAAAGGACTGGAACCCTTTTCTCTTGGGCTAGAGGCTGTTCTGCCAGGAAGCAAGGGTTGTATTTTCAGTGCTTGTTTATCCATGGCTTTACTGCTCAGTAACATGAAAAACCTTATCTTTTAGGCCCTGGCTCAAGATTTTGTTCATGAACTAGCTGCCCTGTGCCAATGAGCAGTTCGTCTGACTCCAGAGGTTCTCTCTGGAAGCTGTTTTTATGTGATAGGCATAACACCAAAACCATCCAGCAAATAGCTTGACCATCTTTTCAGGTGTTGTGAGAAAGTCTGCCTTAGCTCAGCCTTTGAATCTTCCCTAACATGAGATCATCACAGCCACTTCATCTGATTTAGGTGTTTACAAAGCCCTCTGATGGGATTATTTGGCTCAAAACCTATTGTTGTCTCTTGGAAGAGAAGTTCCCTAATAACACTAGCTTGTCTCTGCTGAGTGCTTAAAATAGCTACCGGGTGCTGCGTATGAGCTAGTGTGTACTTAAAAATACTCTAATATTTTCTAGATAGCATGTGCCAGGGCCCTGTGAGTCCCTACAGCAGCTGTTCTTTGACCATTTTATATACTGTTTAAGATGCACCTGACTATTTTAACCCACAACCTGCTTCTTGTTGCAAATGCTCTCCCTGGAGCGTATTAATAGTTAAGTCATTTTTGTAACACAGCCTTAATAACTACATAAAAATAAGTGGTGGTTGCGGGAGTCAGTGATGTTGCAAGGCCACAAAAGATCAGCTGTGTCTGGGTCTTCCCTGTGCCTACCAACCGCTCCATATTTACATCAGAAACAGCCAGTGATTTGCACTGAATTTAAGGTGAAATTTATGGTTCCCATGAACTTGCATCCATCAAGCTTCTAGTCCACTACAGATTTAAAGAGATCGGCTGTGAATGGTGCATTCCTTCCACCAGAGTAAAATATAAACGTAACACCTGCCTTGCATGCCCAGAACTATCTTTCCAGGGCTTACGTTCACAAAAGCTCGGGAGGTTCTGTTCTTATTTGTGCATTGTCTGGATGCAGGGTTCCTGATGCTATTTCAGTCTGTTACTGCACAGTGTTCAAATACAAACGCTACCCCTGTGTCAAATAAATGCAGAGGCTGTTCTCACCTGCAGGTTATCCTATGACTTAACTGGAGGCAGGATTTCATCCCCTTGTGACGTACCATTGCATTATTTTTAGTGTGTTGTTAACAGCTGTGTTTTTATTGTCAGATATGTCTATCATGCTTTCATATTTAAATGTAACTTTAAATGCTTGAATTTTTCCCCTTAAGCTATATATGTGTATATATAAAAGACAACTGTGAAGGCAGTAAGTTTTATCTTGCACAGAAAGCACGATGCAGTTCTCACTCGTGATGTCTGTCATCCTGAGAGGGAGTTTTGTTTGTGCAGCACAGGTCAGGAGCAGATCCTAAAATTCATGTGACACTTCCAGCAAATCTTGCCTATAAAAATCAATTTCTCACTTATTATAATAACTTAGTCAACGATTCCACAAGTGTCAAAAACAAAAAGACATTGAACTAATGAAGAGGCTGCTGTCATCTCAGCTGGACTCATCTCAGCTTGCAGATTCAGCTGCCAAGTAGCCTTAAAATAAAATGCAGTTTTGACATACTGAACGTATTATTCAGGCTGAGATTAGCAGAATAACTGATGCTGAGGGTATGCCACCTTCTTCCATTTACTGCCTATGAGCTAGTGCAAATCATTCCTGTCTTTCCCATGTAGCTAGGCAGTCAACCTTAACTTATCCAATGAAAGGGCATAATCATTGTTCACACTTTGAGTACTCCAAATATAGAGAATACCTGATGGCTGCATTTCATTATGGCATTTATCTTCATGAGCTGGGAAGGAGGGATAACTCACAAGTGCCAGAACCACTTATGAAGCATCCCATATTTTCTTCCGAGTGAAGATGAGTAGCAGAGATCTACAGCAAATGATGCATCTTTGAATGAGCAGAGATAACGTCATCATCTCCCCTATTGGCCTTGGAAATAGAAGTTTCCCTGGAATTCCTTAAATGTATTAGACTAAAGCAGATTGAGGAGTGCTTAGTTTGATAACACATAAAAGCAGGAAAATTTGTAGTTTCTTACTTGATAGCTTTCAGGAATGGAGATAAAAGCTAAATTAAGGCAACTGTGGTTCAAGTGGCAAATGTTGTAGCCCAAAGGATTTGGCCAGTGATAGCCAAAGAAATCTCATTTGGTTGGTAGGAAAGTGATAAGGGAAAGGATGGTTTTCACTGAGTGTAGAAAGTGATCCATTGTAAATTTTCCCTTCTCCTACAGGTCTTTGTAATATTTTTGTTTGTTTGTTTTAAGTTTTGATTACATTTTTAATTGTTCTGTAAAAAAAATTTGAACATTCTGTGATAATTTTCAGTATATTTTCAATATATTTTTTCCTCAAGAAATCAAAAATGCTAAAGGGTGCTTTGGTGGGGGGAGAAAAAAAGAATGACCACTTCTCTGATAAAGGTTACTTGTCAGTGATTTTCTATCTTCCTTTTTTTTTTTCTTTTTTTTTTTTTTTTTTAAACAAGGACTGTTCATTTACTATCATTACACTGCAGCTCAGTCGAGATTGAGGGAAGGGCACGGGAGGAGTCATATTTTCTTTTGGTTTTGTTGACTCTGCACATCTGGGACCAAAGGTGCTTTTGGGAATCTTACTTAGATACCTGCCCAGGGCCTGAGCTCCTTTAGCTCCATGTGACTGCACATCAAGCGTTCTTTCAGAGGGGTAAGACCTCTGCCTTTCTAGTGCCTCTCCTTGGAGCACATGCACGTTTCATGAGCCACTGCTGAGTTCACAGTGCTTAGAGGTACAAAGGCCTGAGCATGACACCTGGCCTGAGCAGATGAGGCTGGGGTGTGCTGGTTGTGGTGTACTCCTTAATTGCTGCAGCTTCCTACTAGCTGGGCAAGCTGGGAAGAAAGCAATATGTAATTTGCCTCAGGCTTCCTATACAACAGGTGGGCAAGGCATCGCATCTCTAACCTCGGAGAGGTGTTGCTAGGATACGTGAAGGAATGAGAAATTTGTTTAAAAAATCCCTTTGGTACCCTCTGCAGTCAGGGCTGCTGCAGGAGTTAAAATGTTTTGCCCAGAAGAAGCTGCAGTGGCTCAGCGACTGCCCAGGCATGCTGCTTTCTCTGTGGCCTTGGAGTTGCACAGACCACAGAGGCATTTGTATCCCAGCACATCTTTGCTGACTCTCCAGCAGGTAGAAGAAAAGAGAGGAACACCTTGAGCACGGCTGTTCTTCCCCTGGGAAAGGAAAGCTGTTCAGTGCTGCGGCACAGCCCCTGGGGGCATGGTGCAGGACCTGCTACGGGTTCCCCTGTCTCACCTGTATGGAAAGAAGGGCCAAGGCTTGTGACTGCCCTTATGCTAATAAACGTGCCAGCTAGCAAGCAGCCGTCTCCCCCGGGACACTGTTAGACTGTCTTGGAAAAAAATTGCCCCACTGCAGGTAGTGCTCTCCCCTGACACTGTCGCATGTAGCCAGGGGAGTCTGGAGATG